GGGCTCGGGGGTTGGGAGCCGTCAGAGCCGTGTCCCCCCGGCCAGGGCTCCCCGTCCCCCTTCTGCCCGTTGACCGGCCCGAAGGCTCCGTCCCCATAGCCGCTCAGCGCCGGGCGCTCGTAGGGCGCGTCCAGCACCCCCGAGTACTTCTCGGCGTACCTCTTGAGGAGGTTGGAGGCCGTGAGCGCCGAGATGTCGTCGGTGGCCCAGGCGTAGTTGAAGCGCTGGCGGGTGCTGGGGTAGAGCTCGGACTTGTGGGCTGGCGAGGAGGTGGTGGAGGAGACGTCGAGGTGCTGCTCCGGCCACTGGTTAAGGGGCTGGGCATGCTCTGGTGACCAGTGCATCTTCGACAGACCTGCAGGGGACAGGACAGTGCAGGGTGAGGCAGGGACCAGCTCCTCTCTGCATCAGGGACCTCCAAAACCCACCCCACCACCCCGTCCTTCTGGACCACGCTGCACACCCCCCCTCCCTCCAGGGACACAAACCATTCTCAACAATGCTCATGCTCTAAATTTCCCACACAAAACCCCCCTCTAACACCACCAGTGAAAATCTCCCCCCCAAAAAAGAGCAACCAGGAGCACTGCGGAGAACCTGCACCCTGGGGGGTTCTGCAGGATGTGCCAGGGGTCCCTGCTCACCCCGCTGACCCAGTGTCAACGTCCCCCTCCATCCCTGTCACCCCACAGCTCTGCATCACAGGGATGCTGAGGTCGGCATCACCCTCTTGTGCTCCAGCCCCCAAACACTGGGTGGCTCCCGAGTACCCACCAAGGGTGGTGGCCGTGTCCCCCACCCCTGCAGGTCCTCCCCTCCATCTCCCCCCTGCCCTTATCCCCAGGGCCTCAGGGGACACTAAAGCAGGAGCTGGGAGGGGACCTCGTCACCATCCACTCTCCTCTCTCAGCCTTTAAGCCACTTTGTGACCACAGCACAATTAGATTACTCAATGCTTTAATTGACTTATACGGCATTTGTGCCTCCACTCTGGATATCAAACTTACACAAGAGGATTTAAACGGCAGCTTCGCGGGGCTTTATCCGGCCTCTTCCCTGCATTTCCCGGCCGTTACTAACGTGCTCCCGACAGACGAAGGCTGGGACCAGCCTGTGGGGAAGGACCTTTTTGTGAGCACAAAGGAGATGCTGCCCAACCAACCTGTGCTGGGCAGGCCAGGGGCAGAGGGATGGAAGGGGCCCTGCCCTGCCTGCCAGCGCCAAGAAGCTGTTTCTGGGGGGAAGAGGAGGGTCTGGGTGACTCCATGAGGAATCAGTCATTTTTGTTAAATTTATTTTCATGTCAGGAACTAAAGCACCGGGAGTTTCCATCTTTGTGGTGGTTGATGGACGTGCCAACCTCAACTGCTTCTGCTGCCCAAAAATTACTGCCTGCAACTGGCCAGGGCTTGGGGGAGGAGGGAAAGGGTTTGGGAGGTGCCCACGGGTGGCCAAGGGCTCCTGGTGGGAGCAGCATGGCAGGAACCTGGTGCCACCACCACAACCCGCAGCGTTTCCACCCTCGACGGTGGCACAGACACCCTTGACCCGCTGCTCCTGGAGAAGGGAGGACCTGGCATCCCAAGCAACTCCTTGTCCTTCTTCTGCAACACAGCATGAGGCAGCATCAGCTTCGTTTCTGAGGACAATAAACCCTGAGGACAACAGATCCCTGCAGACAACGGCCACTCCGAGGAGGAGCACCCAGCTTCTCCCCAGAGCAGGGATCGATACCAAAGCCTGAACCACCAGCTCAGAGTCCAAGCTCTACAAACCAGGACAGTGCCAAGAATGGTTTTGCCAAGAACCTGCAGAGGGTGGGGAACACAGCAGCAGGACATGAGCTGGACACCCACCCCCCCAGCAGGGCTGGTGGGGAGCAGGAGGGACATGCCGAAGCAAACCCGAGCGCGGAAGGACGGAGCAGCAAACCCAGCCCCTTGAAAGACAAGATATATGGGGGGAGAAGAAAAAGCCCCAAAATCTGGGTTTTCCTCTGGTGGCACTTGGGAAAACCAGGCAGAGGGGGAGGGCGGGCGGGCAGGGAGAAGTTGTCAGGGGTTTGAAATGGGAGGTGAATGAGGCGGCCGAGCGGGACAGATGTTTCAATGCTCCCCTTGGCAGTGTGAGAAAATTACTGTCCAGTGACCAAATGGCCAGGCCGGTTCCCACCCTCGCTGCTGCCCATTATCCCCAGGCCAAGACAAAGGCGGGCAGGGGGGGCTGGGCAGGGGAGAATCCTATTGTTCCCGCCCGCCCTAATTATGGAAATCTTGTTAATCTATTCAGCAGCGACTCTGAACTGGGCTTTTGTTCGGGGGCTTTTCGCGGGGCGGCGCCGCCGAGGGTGTCCAACGGCTCCAGGGATGGGCTGCACTCCCACCCGCTCCCCCCAGCCCAGGAAAAGCTCCCACTGGGGGATTTCACTGCCCAGAGCAACATCCTGGCCTGGGGGTGTCTTTGTTGGAGCGAGGATCTGTCACCCACAGCCCGCGTGGGCAGAGCGCGTCACGCGCGCAACACGCGTGTCTGTTACACGCTCGTGTCACCGACACGAAACCCCTGTGGAAGAGCACAGGGATCAGCTGTGGGCAGCTGATGGCTGCGTCCACCCAGCGCCCCGTGGGAGGGGGGGGGAACAGATGTGGAGGGCAGAGGAGAGGGAACACGCAGGAGCAAACGCGGCCAAGCTGAGGATGCACAAAACCAGGGATTCAATCCAGCCCAACTCCCCCGAGCAGCTCCACGGGAGGTCACCCCACAGGGAGCCACCTCCAGCCCTGCAGATGTGTCTCAACATCCCCTTGGAGCATCCCAGCCCTTGGGAAGGAGCAGACCCTGCCACCCTTTGGCTCTGGGTGCAGGAAGGAGCCGATGAGCCCAAGTTCTGCTGGTGCTGCTGCTGCTTCGCTGGCTGAAAACGTCGCCGGCTCCTTTCCCTGCAGAGCTGCCAGCCCAGAGGATTGATGCCTTTCTCAGAAGACATTGAGTGGTTCCATTATCCCTGCAATTACCCGATGTGAGGCCAGGAGAGCCCGTCCTGGCTCCAGGGGCTGCCCGAGTTCCCAGGTTTTTAATTCTCCAACGTGCAAACCTCGGGCCCAGGGGGAGCAAACCTGGATGCTGTGAGTCCCCAGTCACAGCCCAGCCCTCCCGAGGCTGCTGCCACCAGGGATGGTGGGAGCTCTGACACATCTGGGTTGGGTTCTGCTACCAGCACCCTGAGGACGGTCCAGACAAGGACTCTCAGCTTCACAACCACCAAATTCCAGCTGGACTTGTGGCACCGAGAGGGTTTTGCAACCCTGCTGAGATGCTGCAGGTCCCACAGCAGCTACAGAGATGTCCTGGAGGCTGGGGAAAAAATGCAGGAGGAGAGAAGAGTCTGTCCCAGGTCTGCCCAGGGAGCAGGAGGCAGGGGAATGACCTTTTTTTTTTTTGTTAAATTAGGTGTTTCCCAATGATCCTTTTGGCTTCTGCTGCCAGGAGCTCATCCCGGGCTGGGGTTTGTCCCTGCCTCTGAAGAGCCATAACCACAAGTCAAACCCCCAGCAATAAATCAGAGTTATGACCTCTAGATGCTCCACTCACCCTCACCGTGGACCTGAGGCTGGTGGCAACGCCTCTGCAATGGCTGAGCATGGAAGCTGAGGGTTACAGCAGCATTTCTGGCTGCTGATGCACACATTTTAAGTGAAATACTGGTCATCTCCCTGTGTGGTGGGTCCAGGAGAGGCAAACCAGCCTGGCACCGGTGGCAGAGCCAATCCCAAAGGACAAGGAGAGCACCAAGCCACGCCTGGGTGTGCTGGAAGCCAAGGGAGATACCTGACAGCAACTGCAAGGGTTGAGACCTTTCCCCCCTCCTCCCCAGCCCAGCAGCCCGTTCCTCAGCATGTTGCTGGAGCACAGGGCACATTTTCCAAGGCAAATTTGGGTTGTTTGGCAAATCCATCGGGGAGCTGCTCTTCTTTGTCCAGCACATCCCCCCCCGACCCCTCCTAGGGGAGCCGACAAAGCGCGGGATGGGATTGCAATCAGAGCAGGGTCAAGGTACAGATGTTAAAGGGATTTAGGCAAACTCCCACCGTGCCCTCTTCCCCACCCCCAGGAGAAACAGCCTCAGCCCCGACCAGCATGAGCTGGAGGCTCCAGTGGCTGCTTTGTCCACTCATATATCAAGTGCAGAGCAGCTGGACACCAGCACGGACCAGGAGTGACCAACGGGCCATGGCCCATCTGTGCTGCCAGCACATGAAAAATTAATAGAGAGCCACACTCAGCCCAGCCCCAGCTGATCACCACCCATCTGCCAGGGCCAGGGGAGGACCTGGCAGCTAAATGTCACCCAGAGGAAGCTGATTCCCCTGGGAATCACCAGATCCAAGGGGATGTGGCCATCACATCCAGATATTGCTCATAACCAGAGGATGCAGGCAGAGGATTTGAGGAATTCTGCTCCATGTTTCAAGGTAAGATGGGATGGGAGAAAAGGCAGCAATAAAAGGGACTTAAAATAAAAGTGAAAAGCAAATCAGCCTCTTTCTTGCTGTTTCTATGTCACTGAATGTCACTTGTTCCCAAGACTTGTGGCCCACCTGGTCCTGCTGAGACGTGGGCTTCAGCCTCCCAGGAACATGGGCCAAAAACTGCTGGATGATTTGTTTGGGTCTACAGACCCTGTGAGGGGCTGGCCCGACCCTCCCTACTCCTGCCACACCACCAGCACGTCCCCTCCAGCACATCCAAGAGGAACATTAAACCCCAAAGATTAATCACGACATGAATCCATCACCATCTTGCTCACTCCCAGCTCAGATGAGCTTCAACGTGCAAAACGTGGCTCCTTCCTACACCATCCTCACTCCTGGCCACACCATCACTTCTTCTCCAGTACCTGCTCTCCTGCCCTGACCCACCTCAGCTGCTGTAGGACATTCCTTGGGGTGCTATTCCAGCCAGGATCTCCAGATCACTGCTTGAAGGATGGTTCTCAGGTAGGAAGGAGATCACTGAGCATTCAGGTCATCAAAGTCCACTGACCCTCAAGGCTGCCTCAGGGCAGGTGGTCAAGGAGCAGGAGAAACCTCAGCCTGCCCTGGGAAGGGTGCCATGGCCCATGGGTGCTGCTCAGATCCCTGTTGGGACTGAAGCCCTTCACCAAAATTTCATTCCTTGACACTGGACGAGCCCCCCAGGGCCTGGGGTGGGACCCATCCCATCTCCATTGGAGTGGAAAATCCATTTCCAATCAGCAGAACCACTTCCCCAAACAGACATCACACCATAAAAAGGCCAGGAGGTCAAATGGACCCAATTTGCATACAATCTGCATCAAAACAGC